CAATATTGTTTAGCGGGCCCCACACCACGTGGCATCCCATTATTGGTCAGTTTATTTAAAAAAAAATTAAACGAAAAAAACAAATAATAATAATAAAAAATTTAAGTTGTGAACCCCAACCAAGGGTTCATTAATGCGCTTGCTCTAAGATATTGGAAATCTAAAGATATTAGAAGTTTTATGAAAACACTATCGCTTGAAGTTTTATGAAAACACTATCGCTTGATCCGCAATCTATTCATATACCACAAATATGGATTTTCTATTTCCAAAAGGTAAATAGTCTAATAGAGGTTCCAAAGGGCGACGGCTTGTTGTGTGGCCCTGCATTAAACGGCTGCCACCATTTCTTCAACCAAGTATTTAAACAACTAAGCACATTTATGCATATGTACAAAATTTCTTGTGAAAGTAAGACGTTACAAAATTCCAGGAGGACTCAAACACGTGAGAAACAGATACTAATCGTACTAACTGTTGTACATGTTTATTATTGGTCCAAAATAAACATTATGCATTTTCGCTTAATACTGGTGCGAGTACTCAAATCACACCGCTCATTTTTTTTTTTTTATTTTGGTCAATCACACCTCCCATTTAAGTTGAACAAGATTAGGAGGGATGTCAATACAGGATAGTGAATTAGTGATAACCAAACAAGAGGCTGTGAAAAAAAAATCAAATAAATTTTTGTAGTAAAAAAATATATTGATGTTGAGATTAGAAGAGTAGTAACTTGTGTATCTCATTAAACCACACGACACACATATATATATGGTGTCTACAATCTATCCAATGACAAGGATAAACTAGAATCCTACTAGAATAAAGATTACATGCCAAAGGATAATCATAAACTAGTAAGGTTTATGATAACTACAAATAAAGATATATCCCAACCATCATATCTNGGATGCATCACTGAAGATCCTTCAGCTGGCGCATCCCAATCTGATGGATGAGCCTCTTGAAGGTTGTAGTTGGCAAAGACTTGGTGAAGAGATCAGCTGAGTTCTCACTTGAACGGACTTGCAAGACTTGAACTTCACCGGCCTTCTGGAGATCATGTGTGAAGAAGAACTTAGGCAGAATGTGCTTGGTTCTGTCACCTTTGATGTATCCATCCTGGAGCTGTGCAATGCAGGCTGCATTGTCCTCATAAATCACCAGGGCTTCGTTGAGGTTCCTGGTCATCCCACATGCGGCCTGGACGTGCTTGGTCATGGCCCGGATCCAGACACTCTCACGGCTGGCCTCATGTATGGCCAGGATCTCGGCATGGTTGGACGATGTGGCTGTCATGGTTTGCTTCATGGACCGCCAAGCCACTGCTGTTCCACCATGAGTGTAGACATAGCCAGTCTGAGATCTACCACAATGAGGATCAGATAAATAACCTGCATCAGCAAAACAAACTAAACCATCCTTAGTTTGGTTAGTATAAAATAAACCCAAATCCTTCGTTCCTTGCAAATAACGAAGTAAGTGTTTTATCCCATTCCAGTGCCTGAGGGTTGGACAAGAACTGTATCTTGATAGTAAGCTCACAGCAAAGCTGATATCTGGGCGAGTATGACAAGCCAAATACATTAGAGCTCCTATGGCACTGAGGTATGGCACTTCTGGACCAAGGACATCCTCATTGTCCCTCTTTGGACCAAACGGATCCTTGT